TTTCTTTCTTTCATCAGAAAATTTAATCAGCACTCCCTTATGAGGTTATGAGTCTCATGGGTGAAGGCTTGTGATCAGATTTAAGTTGTGCAGATTGTTGTATGAGAGCAAGCACTACTGATAGCCGGCACTATATCCTTGTGAAGTGGTTTTGGATATAAAAAAGCCTAAGTGTGTGTAGAGAAACTAATGGAAAGCCCCCAGTAGTTGTCATAGAAGCTGGTTTTACCAGAGGAACAGAAAAACAACTCTTAAAGGGATTTCAGAAGCACAAGAAACAAAACCGAAGGACAATGCTGCAGGAAATGCCTGAGGTCCAGTAAACAAAATAATGTGTGCTATACACCAGGAATGCTTCATGTGGGATTTCCAACTTGTATAAAATTCCAGTGTGAAAAAACACCTGCTCTAGTTTCTCTAGCAACCTTTGTCCTGATGAAAGCTTGGCCTCACCACTGCCTCTTATCTCCCCGCAGATAGATTTGAGCCAAATTGCAATAGAAAACTGTGCCAAAAGGGATTTTTGAGAGGGCACCCAGCCTATAACCTGTCTCCGTGGCAGGATCAATTCAGCCTGTTTTTCTTGATTGTCCAAATTGCTTTTGGGAAACCTGTAGGCAAAACACTTGAGAGTAATTTCTTTCAGTCTCTGAAAATTGTCCTAAGACTAAAGGCAAACTCCATCTGTGGTGCTTCTTTTGGTAAAAACTGAGGAAGCATGAGAAGAGCCGCAAGCAGAGGCAGAACCTGCTTTCCTTTATGTGTAGACACTGGTGTCTCTGGCTGCCAGTCAGTTACCATCTACATTAATCAGATTTTTATTTTTTTTTTTTAAAGGGATAATTGTCAGGACCAATGACAGTACCACTCTTTGCCTTTCTTAGCAGATCCCTCTAGAAGTTCTCTCCTTGAACTAATACCACTTGCCAGCAGAAAAGCCCCAGGATACTGTTTCAAAAAATAATGAAATGCCTAAATCAATTCAGAAACCTTCGAGTACTTTGATCCAGGTTTTTAACTGAGGGCTGTTGTAACCTTACATTTTCCAAACCCACAATGGTACCTCATAGTTATTCATGAACACACACTTCTGGAAATCATGACTAACCCAACAGTCTCATGCCCAGCTAAAACATGCTCACTGAGAAGCAAACTTCCACATTCCATTTGCAGTAAAGCACCCTTTTGCTTGAGACTGCTATCTGTAATGTGTAAAGGCAGATCCTTACCTTAAATGAACTGATGGATGTGCTGGTTGTGTTGATGTACAAATGATGTTATAGACTGCGTCAGGAGTACAGAACTAGGAACATAAGGAAGAAGAGACTAAAAATAGCTCGATTAGGAATAAAGCAACCCTAGAACAGTGGGAAGGCTATTAAGTCCACTTCGCTATTATAGGCTGATTTCAGTTTAACAGAGAGTAGGAAGGATGGCTGGGGTCACATACCCCATACACGCCTTTTGCTTGCTTCTTCACTTTGTTCTGAAACAGATGGAACTGGGCAGAACCTAAATAAGATGCTGGACTTAGCACGAAGCTGTGTCTGATTTGTCCTGGTATTTCCCCTGGTTCTGTGGGATGGGATGTCACAGCAAGTGGGATAAGGTCTTTCCATAGTTCCAAATGAAGATTAACTTGCCAACATGTGGATAGCATTGTGGTTCATAGAGTACTCAAAAGCATTAGAAGTGGGGGTTTTTTTTGTTGTTGTGTTTTTTTTTTTTTTTAAGGACTGCTCTTGCATCCTGCTGCTAACAGCTAATAAATGTTTGCATAGCAGGGAAATTCCAGACCAGTGAGAGAAAGCTAAATCTTCTGCCAATGTTCAAATAAGGCAAGTAGAATAACTACCATCATTATTAGCTTTATCTCAGTGTAAAGCATGCTAAAGGAAAAAGTGATTACTAAGTACTGATGATGAATCTGTTTCACCTTGCGAAGATAAAGCACCTCTTCAGAGAAATAAATTGCTGTAAACAGGCGTGGGCAAAACAGGTCCATCTCAAATGTATCAAAAATTTGAAAAACTGATTACATTTGAACTACTCAGAAACATCCTCGCTTTAGTTCAAGGTCTTGGGGGGGGTGGTGGGGGTGGGTGTCACTTGCAATGCAAAAGCATTTTAAATAAAAGGACTTAAATAAAGCACAAGTCTAAAATATGATAAATTATTGATTAAATTACTGATCAAAATGTAAAATAATTATTAGCTACCAGCATATCATCTTAGACTATCCCAGTGGGATTTTTCTTTAGTAGAGCTTATGCATTGACTACCATCCCTTTTCAGAATACTTTTCGATGTCAATTTGGTCCTATTCCATGGGTCTGTACTGAGGCATCATTAGCAGATTAGACCTGCCTCTAGAGACTGAAGCTGCAATAAAACCAACTGAGGAGGAACTCATCAGTGTCTTTGTGTGGCCATTTATGGCCATATAGAGCAGATGCCACCAAAAACCCTAGCTGACTTAGCAGCACACCATTGTCTTTGTGTTTCATGTGAAGTCACTGCACGTGGTACACGATCAGTGAGATCCAAGTCCAGGTTGTGCTTGCACAGCAAGATCTTTATCTTCCACCTGTCAGCTGCTCAAGCAGAATTCCTTCATTGCAGTCATGCTGCAGCATGGAGGACACACTAAAACAATTCAACAATCAGCTTGGCTGTTTACCTGCTGGGCTTCCCCAGCACTCACTCGGGAAATCTTTCGACAGTATCACGTAAGTGCTCTTTATCTGTAATGGTGGAAAAATCTGACTGCAAAACTCTTTCCTAAAGCAGACTGTGGGAGCCAAACAGCTGCATCTGTGTGCTCCATCAAGTAACTGCTGTTACTGCTCTAGAAGCTAACTCTGAATGACACTTAACTTTTCACTGCTGGTTTCAGAGAAATCCTCCCTGACATTTTGTAGACATCAGAGCATGCTCATACTTACACATCACAGCTGATATATCTTTCTGGGTGAAAAACTCTCCCTCTTTTGAGAACTTGGAATTCTTAAGTCAAAATGTTTACTTTTATTTATAGACCTCCTGCTGGTATGTGCCACAAAGCACTGTCTGTGTCTAGAAACTTGTGAGGACAACTATGGCCTCGAGCTCAAAACTGTTTTTTCCTCCTTGGTCTCCTAGGGAATAGGCAGAGGAAAGAGATCTGAGAAGAGTATGTGGAAAGCTTGGAAAACCCCTGAGTCCCATTAAACAGACATTTCAAGTTAATTGACGAAAGTGTTTTGTCTCTCAGCAGGGCACTTGTGTCCAGCAGTGACTGTTTTACATCTTCAGTTTAATTGTTAGCACCAACCCTGCCAACCAAAATGAGACCCAGGACCACAAAGACACCTTGAAAATACTCAGGGTTTCAGAGATGGCCAGGTGAGATAGTGGTCCTTACAATCAATGGCCACTACATGTCCAATACTTTGTACACTTGAAACTCTCAGCCCTACATCACTTGCAGCACCTAGAGAAAGTGCCACTTCTTACAGTAGGTGAGTGATCTTGAAGGGATCCTCGACATTTGCACAGTGCACAAGAATCCTGAAATGGGTCACTGGGTCTAAAAGGAGCCTAATGAAATCTCTTGAGTTAGATCTACTGCAGTTTAATTCTTCTGGGAAATGACATTGACATCGGCACCACTCAAATTCAAACTCGGGTACTGTGTTATATCACCTAACAACACCAAGTAATTGAAAAGGATTTGATATCTTATCTGACAGTTTGCGTAGCCTCCTCCTATCCTAGCGTTACTGAGAAGTAAGGTTCTGCTCTCCAGTATGCAATTATTTCCACTGACTTCATGTGCTTAATGACATAGTTCAGCTGCCCTTGCACTTTGACCCAAATGCAATGGAATGAATTATGTTCTCTACAAAAAAAATTTGCAATGAGTTGCATGCAGAAAATTTAGCAGTAAGTTCTTCAACAGATGCCAAGTAATGTATCTTTAAACAAATACAACTGTCCAACTTGCTCAAATAGAGCTTGAATAATGTCCCCTTAGTCACGTGAGCAAAAAGCACAGGATGGTCACCAGTGCCAGGAGTAACTAAAACATGAGAAGAGCAACACCCACTGCCAAACCACTGTAAAATACATGTAAAACGAGATATTTGGAGAAATGTTAATGATATGTCAGCAGAATTACTAGCTGGGTAGGCTACATGAGAAATGAGCACTATCTGACTTTGAGAGCTGCCTTTCTGTTCTTTCTTGCATTTCAAAAAGCTAGAGGGCTAAGTACCACTATTTCCGAACATCAGTTGTTTCGGCGAAAGAAGTTCAAAGAAGTAGGAAGCTTTATTGCATACAGATTTCTCCCTGCCTAGAGGTCCAGCTGTCACCCTAGAAAGATCACAGAGGGGGCCTCAATTCATTCCAGTTACAGAAGATACCAATTATTCTTACAATGAAAGAGAATACACAACAGAAAGACTGGCAGTCAAAGCAAGGCAGTGCTTCTGGAGTTCATGTCATACCCATTTTAAACAGTGTGCCATTGTGCAGTTTCTGGCTTCCATATCTGCATTTACCACAGGCAAAAGTTACAAATCAACGTGCCAACTGAAAATTGAGTTATAATCAACACTGTCTCTCCCCATTATACAAACAGCAGCATAACAGGGCCAGTAACACCACCTATAGTAACCATGGGGCTGGAGCAGCAATGTGTCTTCTCAGTTAGTTAGAAGGGACATCCATTCCCCATGCTCTCCCTCCCCTTTTTGTATTCACCTACACGGTTCCTTCAGGAGTTTCTTCATGTCACTGGCCTCTAGACTGTTAGACTAACAAACCAAGAATCACAAAGTAATACAGCAGAAAATTAAGTCACTTGCATCTGCAACAAAGTGTAGATTGCCACTTTGTCTATGCTCTCAAGCCAATGGCTTAATACTTAATGTAAGAGATTCCCACCCCCCCACCCAGTTGGAATCCTTTGTTCAAGTGTTTTAGACACAGAAAGAGAATGTTTGTCTCCAAACGCAGGAAAGAATCAGGTGTAATAGGAATCCAGTGGACCACCTTCTTTAAAGAGAACACAAAACTGTGTGGAAAAAGATTGTCTGTTCCTTGGCTGACTTGGAATTTCTTACGTGATGTCCTTCTTTCTTGGGGGCCGGTGAATATTCCTCACCACACACTTCACCATCCATTCAATTCCCTCGTTCACTCCTTTGCTAAGGAAATAAGATAAGTAGACAAGATTTTAAAAAAAACACAACAAACAACCAAGAACAAGAACATGGCTCATACAATCCCTAACTGAGCTCTTACAAGAGCAAGTGAAGGGTTCTGCCCTGCAGTTATTTATTGGCATTATTATGTTAGTTTCTCATACAAATAGACAATGGGGATCTGATTTCGCTTAACTCTGTATGTAAACTCCATCCTTTATTTTTCTGGTGTCTGTACAAGTCTACATCCAATTTAGTTAGTCACCAACTCTGTGGAAACCTTGGGATGAACAAGCATCAAACCACTTGACAGCCAACTGGTTTGAGGTTATTTTGCCACAAGACTCAGGCTATTTGTATCAGATCTTCCAATCCTGACTCCAACTTTCTGTAATCATCTGTGCTGGGGCTGCCAAGGAAGTCACCAACTCACCGGTCTTCCCAGCCAGGACTTCCACAATTTATTTTTTTTGTTTAGTGCAAACTCAAACTGAAATTTCAAAAGGAAATTCCACACAGATCAAAACTAGAACTGTTTGTACAAAACCCACAACAATTGAAAAGGTTGCATTTCATAAGATTATTATCTAATACGTCTCTTCCAGTCAGTACTTAACCATTGTTCTTGTGGTCATTCATTTGCTTAATAGCATTTGATTCTTAGCAATGCAGACAGCAGATTTTTCTCATGATTTAAGAAGCTTTTCTTAGCCTTTGCAGTAGCTTGTATAATAATACAGCTTGCTTTCTAGACTAAAAAAAGAAGAAATCTCAAAGCTCTGGATTCAGTACAGGCAGTAATTGAGACAGCAGTATTTCTAGCTATCTGGAACAGTACTTTTGACTTATGCCAAACAGCACTTTTCACCCAAAGAACTGAAAGTGTAACCAAAGTATTCCAAGACTCAGTGTGCAATAAAATCTAGTGGGGTGGTCAAGGTCGTGGCATGCAGCTGTGTAGTCCTGAAGAAGAATCACAGTCTCTCAAATTTTGGTCTGTTCTAGTCATTGTATCTTAAACCACAGGCATCCCCAGTGTAAGAACACTCTTGGAGGTTGTTATATTATCTACATAACAAAGCTCATCTGCACACCAGAAAATATGAAAATGAGAGCATAACTACTCCGCCAACAATGGAACACCACTCATTCCTCTGGCAGTGTCATGAACAGCTGTATTTTCAACTGACTTCTTACATAAAAGCCAGGAGCTGCAGCAAGTCAATGGCTGCAAAGATTATTGTGTACACTATGTGTGTGTGTATTTTATATATATGTATATGTACAATAAGTCCCCATACGGAGAAGGCATGATGAAGGACAAGAATCAACCACTCCAGAGCCTCCAAGTCCCATTGCTCTCAGCCAGTAGTACATTTTCATTGTGTTTTATAGGTAGGATTTACAGATGAAGTTACTGACCTCGTGCAAGTCCAAGGTTCACAAACAAGTATCTGCCACTCCTGGGAAGGAAGTGCAGCTCCCTTTCAGGGGTTATTAAATCCTATAGCACTGCTCTGTTTGTGTGACCCCTGCAGCTGTTCAGTTAACCACAACACCATCCATTCTCATACTTACCCAGTAAGAGCCGAGCAGGCTTGTGTCAGGCAGTCTCTCTTCCCAATTTTATTAATGCAGTCACTAAATGCTGTCTTGATGTCAGGTATTGACAGACAAGTCTGCAAGGGAAACCAAGGAATAGCTTGCTTTCTCTGCTACAAGAGATAGTGACCTTCCAAAACGAATCCTACCACATTCACAGTTCTGCTTCAGTCAGGATGGCACAATGCTGTTAGGTTAAACCCCCTCACCGACTCACACAGCAAATTGACTTCTTTACATTCCAAAAAAAAAGAGAATATATTCTTTTTTGACCAAAGAGAATGCTATTTTCAGACAGTAAAGAACCTCCCTGATCCTCAAGATGTACACTTCTAAGCAAATAGAGTAATGAGAAAATAGAGCACAACCCGCACACCGTTGGGATACTCCTTCCAACCTGCCCCAATCATCGCACGCAAGTTCTGTCTACCAAAACACTACAAGAGCATATCTATTCACAAAGCCTTTTGAAACAGTGTACCTGCCAGAACCCCAGACAAGTCAATTCCTGTAGCTGACACTTTGCTTATGGCCTGGATCGTGTCTCCCTACATGCAAACTCTCAGAAAATGGCTTGGACGTGATTTTTCCTAAGTTCTCAGCTCATTCCTTGACATTAAGGGCCTGGCTGCCCCAGACTTGTTTGTTTGCATTTTGCATGCAGGAGAATATGCTGACAGCACTGAATGTAGCACATTTTCTAATGCCTGGTGTCACTTGGTTCTTGATCACCATCAGGTCTTGCACTTCTGTAAGGTTCCTAGGAGATTGCTGGGAAGTGCACAAATGCATAAATAAGCCACTGGATTACTTTGCTGACATAAATCACAGTGTTACCACAAAAATTTTATTCTTAGAGCTACAAACACAACAAAAGCAAACCTGCCCTCCTGAAGTCTAGACTTGCATCTTCCTCCCTGAACACAGGAAGAAGGTACAAGAAAAATCACCAGTCTTTAAATCTTTTTCTCATCTCCGTGTTCACTTTTTCCTCAGAAGCCCTCAACAAGCCATTTAAGCACTTTAGCTGGCCATGAGCCAAGTTTTCTTCTTCTCTCTGCAAAGACATTTTGGACCTTTAATGAGGCTCAAATACACGGTTTTGGCAAGTGTTTACTCAAATGTGAAACTGGACCCTTGTGAGTCTTGAGGATTAGTTCAACTGGATATACACTCTGAAAGAAAAGACTACCTGCAAACAGGAATTCAGTCTTCTACAAGTCTTGACCTTAACTTAGCAGAAAGATGGAAATTAATGATACCAGCTATCCATTTTGCAAAATACTGGTTCTGGAGAAATTAAATACAGGAAACTACTGTGAGGATGACCATATGACAAATAAGCAGGTTTCAGTGATTATAAATAAGAAGGGTTCTTAAGAAATGGCTTGAGAGGAGTTTAATGACACCCAATTCACCCAGCGCCCTTGAATCCAGACTTGTGATTTTCCGCTGAGAAAGGCCTAGAATCCATTAGTTGTGCAACTGTTGATGACTGTACTTTCTTATGACCTAAGCTGCATTTCAAACTTGCAGTTTCAATCAATAAGATGGAAACTGTATCCAGAAATGTTACTTCATTATAACTAAGCCTAACAACTTACTTCAGGATTTCTGCCACGTGAAAAGCCTGCAATTCATAAAGATGAGCTGTCATCCACAGGACAAATAGTTAAATATGTTTTTTAAAAAATCAATTACTAACTTCAGAAGGAGTCAGACTGGACTTGGAAGTTGGAATTCATACCAGTAGGTCTGGAAGACAAGCAAGAGATTACTACCAAACAATCATTCTCTACAAATTTGTAAAAGATGCTACTTTAGTTTTGGTATGACGTTCACTGCCAGATAAGGGCAGGTCCAACTGCCTCTTGATTTAAGCCAAAGCTCTAGACAAGTCAGTCAATTACCCAACAAATGGGAAGGAAGAAGAACTGCATGTCAGTAATTTGAGCTATTTTTCATATCATTACTTTTTTTTTCCAGTAAATGAGACTTGGCAGCAGGAAGGTTAAATCCCAAGGCAGCTGAAACTGAGTAACTGTTTCTTGAAATATACTTTAAGCTTATCATAATATAACAATTTCTCCTTTTCTGAATAATGATATATTTTTAAATATTTTGTTAAAAAATCTGAGAAAAAGTGTCCAAGGTCAGAAATAACACCACAGAGCATCGTCATGCTGTCCTTTGTTTCTACTTGCACAAGCCTGTGCGAAGCAATCAGGCAATGGACTTCCCCAAAACCACCAGCAGACCAGTACACATGTACATATCCAGCGGCATAGAGAGAATCGATCTCCTTCATCTTGTCCATCTTTGAGGCCTTTGAGAAGTCTGCTTTTCCCAGTGCAGCTTACAACTGCCATAGCCATTTTTTCCCCAGCTTAATCCATTATAATCACTTCCTTTTCTCACCCTCTGGTATAATGGTGGCCTGCCCTAACTTCTACAAAGCTGTTCAGCCATTGATCTCTGTAGAAATCTGCATCAGAAAGAGTTAGGCTTCTGAGGACACTTTGGACCATTTACATTGTTTGTAGTAGGATGTCACTGCCTCACGTTTTGAGGAATGTTTTTTTCCCTGTGGGATGAAGTACAGTAACACAGCAGAGGGGATAGCACCACTGAACCATCAATTCAGGGAAGCCTTGTTTCAGTGTTCAAGGGGAAGCCATCAACTGGAATCTTGTCTGACAGCAAAGGATGAGGCAGATTACCCATCACTTCAACTAGGAGCATTTGAGTTTCTCATGTTCAGGAGAAAATGTCAGCTGTGGCTTCTAATTTCCCCTCTTTTCCACCTCCCTATCTACATTACAAAATATTTGTTTACAGATGTGTTTTTGTTTCTCAACTGAAACCACATAAACCAAGAGCAAACTAGGGAAGCTGGATTTGTGATCACATAAACAGTGTACCATTATAATAATAAAATCCACAGATGACCTTTCTGGAGTAACGTTATCTACCATATATTTCAGAGGAAACACACAACTTGACGAATCATAATCCCAGCTTCCCCAAAAGACCGCACTGTAAACCCTCCTTTGATGAAGGCTCTTCAAGGCATAGTCTAGCCAGGACTGACCAGCCTGCACAACCAAATTCCTCTTACAAAGGGTTCAGAACAGCATTACCCAAATTTAGACTCAGGAATGGTACACCTAGAAATATATCAAGCAGCAAGGCTTCATTTCTGGAGTCACCTGCAGAAAAGCATGAGTGGCTGTTTTAGGCAAGAAAGGTTGCACTGTAGAGTCTTTATCCATTTGCCAAAACAAGAGAATGGTGGATAGCCTAAGTAAAACTATTTAATAAAAAGCCCAACCAACCTGACCTATGTTCTGTGTTATCTTTTGTTACAACTTATGTTAAATTAAGACTAATTTTACAGGGAAGCTGTGGTATTTCTTAAGTTGGAAATCAGAATGGCCATCATGCAGAAGGCCTATTTTCTAATTACTGTGTGGAAAACAGATAACACTATGAGTCTTCAAACATATACTGCTACTCACCATCACTCCTCTCATTTTCCAAAGACATGAGGAGGCTTTCCAAAATTTATCTTAAGATTAAGAAGGCAAAACTTTCTCCCAAAGACATCATACAACACCCAGTTATTTTCATATGCTATTTCTTCCGAT